TCTATCTATCATCTTTATAATCTATCTATCTATCATCTTTATAATCTATCTATCATGTTTATCTATCTATCTGTCATGTTTATAATCTATCTATCATGTTTATCTATCTATCTATCTATCTATCTATCTATCATGTTTATAATCTATCTATCATGTTTATCTATCTATCTATCAAGTTTATAATCTATCTATCATGTTTATCTATCTATCATGTTTATAATCTATCTATCCATCTTGTTTATAATCTATCTATCTATCTTGTTTATAATTCTATCTATCTATCTTGTTTATAATCTATCTATCATGTTTATAATCTATCTATCTATCTCTACCGTCAAATTCCGCTGAAAACACGGTTCCGTAGTTCTAGTTTGATCAATGTAGTTAAGCAGTGTCGACCTCGGTCATTAATTAGATGGGGTAATCACTAGGGAATAACGGGTACTGTAAGCAACCTCCTACATTATAAAATATATTTGGTTGTCCAGAAAGTCCTGTATTACTTAGGAAGTGGAAAGAAAAAAAGGAAAATTTTATGGAGCAACACCAAAATGTATCCTTCAAAATGAAATCCATCATTCTTGACGATCGTCTACCAGGGATCAACCAGCATTCGAATCTATCCCAAAAACCAGTCCGCTGGCTTTGAATGAAAAACTGTAAACAAGCTACCTTCAATTCACCAAAGGTGTTGAATTGTTGTTCGAGGAGGAAGTGCGCCACAGAGTGGAATAGACCATAATCATTCAGCGCAGCATCGAGGTTGAATGGTGGATGTGAAAGAATCTCAACCCTTACTCAAACAGGCAGTGTGTGGCCTCGCATTGCCTTCTGAAACAAGGCCCGTCTTCGATTGGCCAAAGCAAGATACTCCTTCTTTAGTTTATCGTACACGCAGTCTAGCTGCGGAGCAATACAGTTTAGCATTGATGACGCGATGTGTGGAACAAGCTCGAAATACAGTATTCCTTGGAAACTCCACCAGACAGGGATCAAGATTTGTTTTCTTTCTGTTTCCTAATTGAGTCGGGACATTCTAACCAACCTAGCATTTCGATTTAAAAAATCCCTTAAAAATTGATAAGCCATAAAATAAATCTCTATGGCCCTCTCTCTCTGTTCTCTCTCTCTCTCTATATATATATATATATATATATATATATATATATATATATATATAAAGAGAGAGAGAGAGAGAGAGAGAGGGAGGAAATGTGAAAACAGAAGAAAAGAAATAATCTTCAAATACAGCTTTACAATTATTATTGAGTATAAAAATAATCCTTTAAGTTGAAAAGACAAGTTATAAAGTTCAACGTTTTTCTTTTTGCAACACGTGTTAGTATAAAGTGCAAAGCTGTATGGGAATTCTTAATGCGGAAATTCACGATTTACATTATTTTGTTTATATGGGTTTTCAGCAGCAGATAAACTGTCAATGGTAATATTTGTACTGCTGTTACAATTACGCTTTATTTATATATTTCACTCAAAAATGTTTCGTATTGTAAGGCCTGAGAACTGGTTCATGACGATACTTTAAAAACTAGAAATAGTTTGCAAGACATTCTTATCGTTTGCTAAAAAAATTTGAAGGATCCAACCAGAAAATTATTAACACTCTTTTCCCTCTTACAAATAGATATTTAAAATTGGTAAATTTATTTATTGACCGAAAAACCTGCGATTTTAGTAAATCTAATTTTTAACTTCCTTATAAATAGCGCAACGGAAATTAATAAAAATAGTCTTTAATATAAATCGACTGGATGAATACTGAATACTCAAAATTGTCGCCTATTGAAATTAACTATTTGATTACTAAGTTACTAAGTTTTATTTTGAAAAATCGAATTTAAAGGCCAATATTTAAAAAAAAGGGCAAAATACGGAAGCTATAACGATGGAAAATACAAGGTATTTACATTACTAATTAATTTAAACTTTATTATTATTTATTTATAATTAAGCTAGTTTAAAAGGCATGTTTAAAAATCGGGGGTGGGGAAGAAATAAAAATCCCTCCAATAGTATTATGGGATATTTTCGCATCCTCAAACAAATAAAAAGGTTTGTAATTCACATAAATAAAACCAACTGTATGTGAAAGAAGATCGATGTGAAAAAAAGATTTTGTTGATTTGGCAAATGCTTCAATTTTTACTCACATTATCGATAAAATCAATCACTTAATCAAATTCAGATTATCAGCAAACATGTGACATTCATTTTCATGTTTTTTTCATTTTTGGATACAAATGAAGTGAAGGGAAAATTACATAAATTTATTGAGGTAAAAAAAAACAAAACAAAGGAATTAATATGGAAATATCTAGAATTATAAGTGTACAGAAGGATGACAATGTTGCTTTAGTTTATTTTAGCTTTGTTAACCGAACAAAATGTCGACTCTTAAATGTCGAATATCAGTTTTATAGGATAAAAATCATAATGCATTAAGTAGACACAAGAGACACAAAGTTACGTATAGTTACAATTTTTTATTAACGAAAAAAGTTAAAAAGATGACCAGTTTAAGAGAGAGAGAGAGAAAGAGAAAGAGAGAAAGAGACTAGAAGTAAGTAGATATAGATCTGGTTTTCACGAGTGAGCACAGGTTCGTTTGACTGTGACGTCAAAAAGATGGACATAGGTCCGGTTTACAAGAGTGCCAACAAAGTAGTCACAGGCAGAGTTATAAGGATAAACCTGTTCGATTTAGATGAGAGTTAAAAAAGGTATAGAGAATTCCTGTTGAGACCAAGTTTAAAACGTTCGGCTCGTTCATATGTCTAGTTTATACCCGATTTTGCTAGTATCTGCTCGTAAAGTTAACCCGTGTTCATATCCGCCATGGTTGAACGCAATCTTCAGATATGTGTATGTATATGTATATATATATATAATTATTTATATACTATATGTTTCGAACACCGGTTTTACTTATTATATACATATATAATTATTTATATACTATATGCATAGTAATTAGCGCTCAATATCAGAGATAGAGCTAACATATATATATATATATATATATATATATATATATATATATATATATATATAAATTACTCTTTTTTGAGTGGTTTCACGTCTACTTATCATCTTTCAGTTGCGTGTCTGTCTTTGGGCTGAGTGCGCTCAGGGGCTTCTCTGTCAAAGGACACAGGGCAACTGAAGAAAATAATATTGAAGAGGTGCCCAGCCCTGGAGAACAGCTGTCCGAGGCCTCGCCCTCCCATTGCACCAGAGGGGGGGGATCGGTGCTCGCACCGAGGCCAACGCAACCGACGGTTGCTGGAGCTGAGGGGAATTTTTGTTCCTGCACCGGGCGTACGCGCTCGGGTCTCCACCTAAAAATAGACCATGTGTCACATCTCCTCCTAGTGGAGACAGAATATATATATATATATATATATATATATATATATATATATATATATATATATATATATTATGAAATGGACTAAGTCCAACAATTACTTTAATATATTGTTTATACGTTATTTTTATAGATACAAATATTTAAGTAAATGCTCTATTTATAATAAATAGTATTAACAACATTTACCGGGCTGAATGTCCGAGAAATTTCATAGAAAATATGTCCTCCGTCAGGAATCGAACCTGTTTCTACACGGAACCGTTATATAGCCTGATGTCCTATACCATTTAGCTACATAAGAAGCGTCTGTTTATCAAGTTCGAATTACTGCTTTTAAACTAAAAATTTCCCTCGAACGTTCAAATCTGCTCGAAGCGTAAACAAATTACGTCATATATTATGATATGAACTAAACCTGACAATTATTTTAATATATATGTTGTTTATACGTCATTTTATAGATACAAATTTATATATATATATATATATATATATATATATATATATATATATATATATATATATATATAGTGTTTCAGAAAAATAAATCTCATTTCGTAATCTAATAACTTGAGCAATTCTCCTTCAAATGATTTTAAATTTAACAGCATGCGCAGAAACAACTCAAAATCCTATGTTTAATGTTTTATGCTTTTTTTTAATTTCAGGAATAGAAATGCCATTTTCTAAAAAAGTATTTTGTGTGTTCGAGTATGTTCGAACACAGTCGAACAAGATTAGGCAGCGGGCATTTGTGAGAGAATTCGCTATATTGTACCAACTGCAATGCAGATTTGGACATAACACAAAAAGTTCAAAGAGGAAGGCTGTCTGTACAAGGCAAAAGGATCTTTTAATATAAGATGCACATATTGAAAACTTGTGAAATCGTTCATGAAATTCACATACCTTTGAATTTCTCATTCCGATTTGGACGAATAAATCTTATTTTGCTCATCAATAAGTCTGTTTAATTTTATTTGCTTAGACTATGTATTTACTCCGATATTTACATGTCAAATGATATTAAATTTTTGAACACATATATATATATATATATATATATATATATATACCTCTCTGATCATAGCTCAATTAGGTCACATTTAAACAAACACAGAGACTTACTAATCTCCATCCGCAACATGCTCTTAGACAATACAAATATAATAGCCTCATCCACATATAAAAGATAGCTAACAATAATGGAAATATTATTAACAAAAAGAAAAATGCAACAGACGATAACATCCACTATGAACACGGTCATAATGTGCTGACAGTGTTTGGAAAATAACATTCCTATAACTCTAGATGCATACATAAAACAATCGATACATTCAGTTAAAAGTAAAAATAAAATCATCTTCGATAATGGCTAAAAGAATAGCCGAAAGCGCTCGGATATGCGAACAATTTATGCATAGTTTATGTCCAGAAAAGATAAAAATTATAGGTGCACAAGAAAAATTAAAAAAAAAACTTAACCGCAATAACTTGTCAGTTGTTTTTAACAAAACTTGTATGAAAGAGGGATTGCTAGCCAAATACACAATTATGTATATATATGGGCATGTGCATTGAACATTCGCTTTCTGACCATGAGACTCGG